CATCTGTTAACCCTATTTTAAAATATTTTGGAGAGCGATCCGATTCGTCGAACTAGCGTCCCATTAGACTTCTTCATATCATAAGCAAGGTTTTTGAATCTTTAATTAACAAACACTTAATCTCTCATCTTGAATCTAATAACTTACTTTCTGATCATCAATATAGGTTTCAATCTTCTCGTTCCACGGCTAATTTGCTAACAGTAATAACCAATAGGTTTTATCGTGCATTAGATAAAGGTGGAGAGGTTAAAGCCATCGCTCTTGACATTTCTAAAGCGTTTGATAAATTTTTGCATGCTGGTCTTCTCCATAAGCTTTCTTCTTACGGTGTTTCTGGTAACATCTTTATGATTATTGAGTCCTTCCTTTCCAATCGTAGTATAAAAGTTGTCCCTAACAGACAGCACCCTTCTTCGCATTCTGTAACCTCAGGGGTTCCTTAAGGTTCAATCCTTGGCCCTATACTCTTTTTAATTTACATTAACGATCTTCCAGATATTTTCACATCTAAGGTGGCATTGTTCACTCATGATACTACCATTTATTCTTGTCACGATAAGAAGTTAACTCCCTTTGATTGCTTCCAGGGGATATTTGAACTTAAAAAGGATCTCTTTTCTGCTACAGAAAGTGACTCACAGTGGCTAGTGAACTTAAATTCAGATAAAACTCAATTTTTTTCAGCCAATTGTTATCGCAATAATTTAGATCTTCCTATATTTACGAACGGCAATGTGCTTTATGTGTCATCTTCCCTTCATCTTCTAGGATTAAATCTTACTGCTGATCTTTCTTGGAAACCATATATTAAATTCGTTGCAAAATTAGCATCTGCTAAAGTTGCATCTCTTTATCAAGCTCGACACTTTCTAATTCTGGATTCTATTCTCTATCTCCCTAAATCTCAAATCCGACCATGTATGGAACACTGTTGCCATATCTGGAGCGGATCTTCTAATGATGCCATTTTTCTTTTAGACAAGTTGCAAAAACGCATTGTAAACATATTTGCACCTGCTCTTGCAGCCAACCTTCAACTATTATCACATCGCCGTAATGCTGCTTCTCTTCCTCTTTTCTACAAATACTATAATCGGCACTGCTCTAAAGAGCTAGCGTCTCTTGTACCATCTACTAAAGTTCACTCTCGTGTTACTCTTCTTTCAATTAAGTCTCATCATGTTTCTATTACTGTTCCTAAGTGCTCCAAGAACTCTTATTTGTCTAGTTTTTTTCCTCGAACATCAGTTCTTTGGAAATCGCTTCCTTCATCTCGCTTTCGTGATTCATATAATTTGCAATCTTTTAAGTCGTCTGTCAATCGTTATCTTGCTCTACCATCTTCTTCTTTTGTCTTCGAGTAACTTCCAACACTAATTAGTGGTTGCTTGCAGCCTTGGTTGAAGCGAAGATTTTTTTTTCTTTTTTAAAACATATTTTAACATATGTATAATGACGTAGAACTTAATGCAGCTTGACCGTATGTCAGCAGTGCCTCTATTAATATATTGTGTATATAGTAAGTTATATAGCAACACGGCTTGGTTTGAAGAAAAGAACAAAAAATGGCTGCAAAGTATGTTCCTAAAGATTTAAATGTAACACGATTGCCTATTGAAAGAATAATTAAGGCAAACATTGATGACTATTCTACTAAGACCAAAAGAAATAAAGTTAATCACTTGAATGAAATGTATTCTGCTTTTGCTTTACAATCTGTTTCAGAAAATAAACAGAGTAAAGAAAATCCAATTAAAAAAATCTCAAAAAAAGAAACTAAAATCTCTAAAACTGAAGCTCTCTGTCTTCTTTAGATGCTAGATTGGCAAAACTTTTGTAGCAAATTATTGGAAATCAAGCAGTTAAAAAGGGAGTTGATAAATATCCTTCATATAAAGATGTTCGGGATGCAAAGATTTTATGTTATTATGGAAATTTATGTGTCTCAGATTTTTTAGTTGAAATAAAACGGCAAGCTTTGGTGGATCTTACAGTAAACATAATATGAAAGGCACAGAATGTGAAGTCACCATGAAGGCATTCCGTATAGACTTTCTCTGAGATAAAATATACTTTGATGGTTCTGCAGGACACTCTGTATATAATCAAATATCGCAAGAAATAGTAACAAGAACTTTAAACCATGAGCAAGCAATTTTTATTACTTGCCTAGTCCCATTAGACTTGTGTGGTTTTTCAAATGAAAACGGTATCCAACGAGACAAAATCTACGATCATCGTCAACAAGGTCCTGTAGACCTCTTTGTTTTAAATCAATAAAAGATCTCATTAGACTTGAGACTTCAAATTTGCAACGTACTAAAGTTGTTATAAACAATAAAAAAATCAAAATACATCATATAATACAGATTACTATGATCGATAGAAAAGTTCAAACTGCTCTTTAATGTTACAAATTTTAGTCAATGCTGTGCTATATGTGGTGCAAACCCAAAACAATCAATGATATTGACAAAATGGTTTTGAAAATGGGTATGACAGACAGATCTTCATTTGTTTTATGATTGTTACATGCTTGAATACGTTTCTTTAAAACGATTCTCATATTGTATATAAAAATGACTTTGAAAAAGTGGCAGGCAAGAACAGCAGAAAATAAATTTAAAGTAAAGGATTCGAAGCAAAAAATTCAGAATAAATTTTAGGATGAAATGGGCTTGCTACTTGATATTCCGAAATAGTGGAACATCAAATGATGGAAATACAGCATGAAGATCATTTTAAAATGTAGAAAAGTTTGCAGAAATTTTAAATATTGATGTTGAACTGATTCTAAAGTTGCATGTTCTATTGGCAACATTTTCATTTGATGTAGAAATTGACACTTATAAATTTGAGACCTTTTGTTCAAAAACAGCTCGAATTTATGTTCATCATTATCTTTGTTACTATATGCCACAATCTCTGCACAAAATTTTAATCAGTGGATCTGAAATTTTTGAAAATTTAGCATTACCCATTAGTATGTATTCTGAAAAAGCTCAAAAAACGTGCAATAAAGACAATCAAAACTATTGTGAACATTTTGCAAGAAAAATATCTCGTGTGAAAACTAACCAAGCTGACTACTGTGTACATCTGATTCATAAATTGCATCTCTGAGAAAGATAGCAGGAAGTCACACAAAAACAAAAAAATTACCAGCGACTTATTGAGGTCATGATATTAGTTTATATATGTGTCTTTTTTATCATCAAATTAGTTTTTAAACCAAGTTTAGAAATATTTGGCTAATAAAACCCCTTTGAAACTAGGCATAATTATGTGGTGATGTGCAACTGGAGTTGCCACGGCAACCACACAAAAAAGAACTTTCAAATTATATTTATCAAATTAGTTTTTATATCAAACTTTGTGGCCAATGAATAAAAAAAAAAGTTATGAATTTTTTTCAAAAATATGGGATTCTAGCCCACTGTGCATTGGTGGAATAACTGATGAGTATTACGCTTTTAATCAAGTTTCTGAACTCAATAAAACAGTTGAAAATAACATTGAAATTGAGCGTTAATGTTGAATTCAATGCAATATGATTTAAAAACTCAGTCAATTTTAATAACTTTTAATATACCTAAATCTCTCAACCATTTGAGAAACGATGATTTAGGTCTTTTAAAAATATTTGAGAAAGTGTGTCCCAATTTTAAAAAGTTTAAAAAACTTAATTGCAGTTGGAAACAGCAACAAACAACTGACACAAAGTGGATTAGCAAAAAAAGGAACAATATATTTTACATAAGAAAAAGTTTTATTTTTGCTTTTTCAAAATTACAGGGAGGCCCATTTAGTAGTGAATCAAAATGTTTAAAAATAAATTATATAGAAAAAGAAAATAATCTGATTTATTCCAAAATTGATTGAAAATATAGATTGTTTATTTAAAGAATAAAATTTTTTTATAAAGCAACAATTTTTTCTTTTTTTTTTGCTATTTTTGCTTTTTTCATCTTCATAACAATTTATTTACAATAGTTTTCTGTTAGGATGGGACTGGAACAGACAGAATATAAGTCCTATCACGCCACGCCACGAATATAAGTCTTATCTAGCCACGTTTTACCATTTACGTTTTAAATAAACTTTAGTGTCAAAGTTTTTTTTACTTTTTTTTAATTTCATTTTCTTTCTGATTACAAAACTACCAAAATTAAAAATTTAAAACTTAAGTACAAATAATGATTTAAATGTAGTGGTGCTTTTTATGATAAGGACAAAAAAGTTAAAAAGTAAATGAGAACATTCAAAAATAAAATAGAATTTGAGATATGTTATAACTAAGTAACTTTATTTTTAATACATTTTTAAAAGCTTGAATTGAAGATATAGTTTTATTAATATTTAAAAGAAATGGTTCCGCACATTTGGCCCTCATTATGCTATTGAGAATTCAGGTTGTTTTATTAAAGTTTTTGGTACCGGATATTTCTTTAACAAATAATTTATTTGATATTTTTGACCTCTGATAAGAAAAAGAACTTCATAAATGTTTGGCAGAATATAATATTTAAACATATGTGAAAAAATACTATAAATATTTAATTAATGATCTTTAAGCACACTAAGCTTTGTAATCAGTGGATTGGCACAGGTGTATTTATAAGCATTAAATATGACAGCCTGTTTTTCACATTTTCATTAATAATCATAAAAAAAATTTCTTTTTAATGTCTATATTTATGTATAATGCCTGTTTTTTTGTTTTGTTCATTTTAATTGATAATTACGCATCTTATTGATATAATGAAAAGAAAAATTTGCTCAAATGATTTCACTTTATTATTATAATTATAATAATGGTATCATTTATTTTAACAATTGTTTTTTGTTTTTTTTTTATCAAAATAATCACTTTTATTAAAACTGTAATAGAAGGCTGAAGCAAAAAATTTTAAAAAAGTTAGTTTTGGATTCTTACTTTTATGGACCTTTTTTTTTTAAAAAAAAAAAAAAAAGATGTATTATAAAACAAAGCGTACCAAAATAAACAAATCCAAAGTATTCATTTTATGATAATTTTAAGTAGAACCAAAGTTGCTCCTGATGTTTCTAACATTTGTGTGACATTTTGATGTGTAATTTTTTCTGTTCGTAATTGAATTTATCTGAATAAAATCATGCAACCTAAAATAAATAGTTTATAAAAATAAACACTTTCTAATAAGCAAATTGTAAAACAAGGAACGACAACCTCATATTAAATAAATTGTCTCATTAATTTTTATAAAAGATAAAAATAATCCTAATTTTTAAACTCTAAGAAACAATAAATTAATAAAAATAATGTTGAAGTGATCTAATTTTTTTTTAGCTTAATTCTGTAAATCAGAGTCAACAACACCGAGAGGAGGAGACCGGGGGCACTGGCCCTCCATTCTTTTTTTCTAGAAAATAGACTATTTTTTAGAAATTGACGATTTTGCCCTTTCGCTTCAAAACTTCAAAATCCGTTTCGTGGTTTTTAAACATTCTTTTACAAAGAATTACTAACTAAGAAAAGAAATACAACTATAATTTAAGATCTGTCATTTATAATTTTAATAATAATAAAACGTAAAAATTTCAAAAACTTTTACTTTTTGAATCACATATCAAACTTTTTAGGGTTTGGCTAAATTTCATAAAAAAGCTATTTTACACATCAACATATGTGCACAAAAATATGTGTGAGCGTGTGTTGATCTAAAAAGCCCTTTGTTTCTGCTTAAATCAGCAGTTCAGGCTTTTTTCATGCATGTTTTTCTATTTATATCTTCGTTCAAAGTTTATAATGAAGTCATAACTCGTTTTGTCTCTTTTAAAAGGAACCTTGAATGTGTAAATTGGCGCTGTATATACTTGACTGATGCATAAATACAATATAATATTGTGCCATGACAGCTTTTTATCTATGCCAGCTAGTTTTTCTGTTAATTCTTATAGGTTTTGCTTAATAGTTCGTTAGCAAGACAGTAGCAATATTTAGTTCTCATGTGCCCAAATAACTAAACGAGTTCATACACCATACTGGTCATTATTCAGACAAAAGCTGAATGAAAAACAAGTGTTTCATTTTGGAGTTAACCTTTTCTGGAGACTGAATAAAAAAGCAAGTCTTTTTATCTCTGGATGCTTGTATACGTAAGAGTATTTTTTATTTTTTTTAATTTATTGATAAATGTATTCACAATTGCATATTAATTACAGTTTTTTTAAATTGATTATATGTTTAAAAAAAGCAATTTTTAGTTATGGGCTAAAATAAATTAACAAAAAAAGTTATTCTAAACATACCAACACTCGAACAAGTCATAATATAAGTAGAAAATTTTTTTTATCACTTACGCTTATGTTTTTATAAAAATATTATTCTAAATATATACCTTTTAGTGCGAAAAAAAGTATCTTTTGCTTATGTTATAAATTTATGGAAAAATTATAATTAATTAATAATTGACCGGGGTTATTATTTGAAAGGGTCCGGGTTTGATATAACATAGTCGGGGCCGGGTTTGTGACTGCATAAACAATCATACATCCTAAAGTATATTATTTTTATTTAAAATGCATGTTATTTTTTGTATATACAGTACAATCTCTCTAATTCGAATTTTATGGGGAAAAATAAAAGTTCTAGTCAAAGAGATTTTCGAATTATATAAAGTTGACTTTTTTTCAAATATTCTTTTCAAAGTAACGAATAGAAATCAAACAAACAAATAGTAAATTTTAGGCCTAAAAGCAATATATATTATGTGTTTTAATCTTTTAAATTTGAAAAAAAATTCAGTAACTATAGATTGTATTTTATGAGCTAGTAAATTCATGTCAAAGACACGATTTATATTTTTAAGAGTCTTTGTCAAATTATCTCCAAATTAGTTTGCTTTTTTTTAAATTAGTCTAGCCATTTTTCCAAAGCTTGAAAACATTTGAAGCATAACTTTATCGCTAACTATATAGCTTTTTATTTTACACGCAAGTCACTAATTGGTATATTATCAGCTCTCATTTGTTCGAACCATTTAAGTACAGCTATGTTTACAAGGTAATACGAATCAACTTTCACCCGTTTAGTCAAATTTCTTTTACAAAAAGCGTCAATAAATCCATTCGTATTTTGGAGTTTTTCGAATTATAGAGATTCAAATTAGAAAAAGTTAAACAAAACAATTTCTTTAACGCATTTCACGGTGACCTTGCATTTAGTCGAGTTATGGAGGTTTTCGAATTAAGTAGATTCGAATTAGAGAGATTGCACTGCATATGCATATCTAAACATCATCATGATCATCATAATCATTATTACCATCATCAACAAGGTCATCATCATCATCATCATCATCATCATCATCATCATCATCATCATCATCATCATCATCATCATGATTATCATCATCATCATCATTATAATGATCATGATCATGATCATCATGATGGTTAGGATCATGATCATCGCCATGATTATGATTATGATCATATTCATCATCATTAGCATCATCATTAGCATCATCATTAGCATCATCATTATCATCATCATTATCATCATCATCATCATTTTCGTGATCATCATCAGGCCATTGCCTTCCTTTTTTATAGATATTTCTAAATATTCTCTAATTTAAACAATATAGAGCATTTCCATTCCTTAACGAAACCTCATTTACGCAATATATAAGGCACTCTCTGCAAGTCTTTTTACTTCTACCACTACCATTTTTCCCCTGAAGCTGCTACCTCCCTACATGCTGATACCCTAAATCACTTTAATGTTCTTTAACAATCGTTGTCCGATAAGACATTTTTTTCTGACGAAAAAGAAGACGATGCCTTCTTTTTCTTGTCGTGTTAGAGTCACACCATCCATCCATCTGATCATCTTCTTTTTCAGCAAATACAACCCTATATAAATACTAAAGTTTATTTAAATATGAAAGGATATTGTTTGCCAGCATCAAAATAAATAGCAAATATATATGTTTATACACAAGATGTGTTTTATGTATGCATAAAACGCAGATTTGAAGCTTTTATTTTTTCTTTCTGAATTCCTTCTCTTCAGTAATAAGTCAAGCCTTTTCCTACGCATTTTTTACCATCTTGAACAGTTGCTTTATTAAACATTATTCTTTTTTTTTTTCATCTTTTTTACAAGAACGTCTTTTTTTTAAACAAATTTACTTTTATTATTATCCTGTCTGATGTTAAGCTCTTTTATTCTCAGTTTACTAAATCTCGCTTAATATTTAATCTCTAAATCATGGGTCTGATCGTTTTACTTTTTTCCAGAATAAGGTCAAATTTTTTGCAAAGAAATTCTACTCTAAATTAACTTTTGAATGTAATGGCCACACTTTTCCTGCAGTTAAACAGATTAACCATTGTTAATCATCAAAATCACTATGGCTTCTAATCCTAAAATTAATTAATAATTAAACACTTCTACAGTTTTTGCTTGTGGCAAGATTACCATCATAGTCTTAAAAAATTGTTATCCAGATTTCTCTTCAATTTTTGCTAAAATTTTAAAAAGTGCTAATTAAGTGGTTCCAATTTTTCAAAACTCTTTAGAGAACACTTTTATCTCTCAAGCTATCATAGATTAGTCTTCACTTTGTTAATAGTTTCTTTGTATGAGGTTTTTGAGATCATTAAATTATTTCTAACTGCAGTATTAAAGTTATTCTTGAAAACCTACACTCCTCTTTATTTTAAGTAATTTTAAGGGCATCACTTTAGTTCTATCTTCAATAACAATCTTCATGAAAATTTTACATTTTAAGGGCCTCTTTTTGCTGACGACTAAACTTTATACTCTTGTCTTAACAAAAAACTTCACTTTTTATTGCTTAAAACAATCAGCCGGTTTTTAATCCAATCTCTCTTCTGTTATAGCCTAAGGCTTGCAGTGACTTGTGGATTTAAATTCTAGACTTATCAATTTTTTTAGGGAAAAAAACTCATTTATTTACTGCAAAATAATATTGCAATATTGTTGGCATTTTTATATTGACAATAACAAACCTCTTACTCTCAGACAAAGTCTAAAAGCATATTATAAATGTAGTTAGACCTGTTTTATCTGCCAAGCTTGAACCACTCTCCTATTGTTGCAAAGTTGCATTTCTAACTTTTTTCTACAAAAACTAGTGTGGCCAATGCTTAAACAAGCTATCTCTATTACGATAAACCTAACCTCATTCTCTGTAACGATAAACTTATTACGTTATTACTCTATTACGATAAACCTAAGCTCATTTTTACTTGGCTTCTTATTCAACAAATCGCATCCTTTAACTGTATTTGCCCCTTTATGCTTTTATTAGTTCAGTTTTTTACCGTACATATCAAAAAAACCTTATAAATCTTACCATCTTCATGTTTTCCTTTTTAATATATTCTACAACTTTTAAAGTCTTCAGTTAACCATTTTCTAGTATTTTAACATATCCTCTAATTTAAATAACTTAGTAGTCGTTGCTTCCAATCTTGTTAGAAGTAAAATAGAGATTAAAAATATATAAATATATGCCAGTATATTACAAACAGTAAATGTAAGTATTATACTATAATACTAAAAGTACTACAAATTTTTTTTTAGCACCCACTATCAACCCGTTCTAAATTTATAATTTTTTTGGGGCCGGGTTTGCAAAAGGTCTCATTTGTAGCCGGCTCCGTAGCCCCTGACACTTCTATAATTAATATGTAGTTGAATAAATGTTTGTTAAAAAATGTAAAAAAAAAAAGTGAAGTTTTTACGTATTCAAATGCAAACAAAATCAAACAAAAATTGTACATTAAATTCCTAAAACTAAAAACAGATAAAAGTAAAGCTATATATAAGAGTTAGGCCAAACAATTCGAACGTCAAAAAAAAATCTTAAAAAAAAAGTTATTTCAATGATTTACTTGAAAAATATAAATTAAATTCTAAACGTAAAAATAGAGTCTCACTCCTCTACGTGCTTCCTTCAACTTCATTGAGTTTTTTAAAAAGCTTTACGTTGAAAAAATGCTGAGTAAAAAATTAGAAATATAATTTTTCAACCCTTTATCAAAGACAAAATTAAACCTATACAATGGATTTAAATCTGGAATAAAAGATATTCAATATAAATTAATTACAAATGGCTAATTGATCAACTGGATGTTTTTAAAATGATTTGCTACATATATCATTTTTGTTTTTTTTTATTAATGTTTACATTACTAGCTTTAAATACTTGTTTAAAAATTAAAAATAGAAAAAAATTTCAGAAACATAAATTAAATTTGTTACAAGCCGAGAAAACTTGTTGTTTTTAAGGTGTTCCAAATACGCAGAATTATAGATTTAATTAAAAAAACTTTGGTATACATTTTTATAATAAAAAAAGCCGAATGATTTTAAATTATTTGACTTTATAGTGTTAAGTTATACTTAGTACGATTAAATACATACCCAAAACAAAAAATATATTCTCTTTTTTTTGCGTTTTTTATCAAGCTAAAATTTTTTAAAAATTACGTTTTAAACTAAAATAACCTAAAGTTGCTAAAAAACCTTTAAAATGAATTATTAACAATTACTTCAGAAATGACGAAAACTGTGATGAATACTCGAATTTATTTATTATTATTAAAGTGAAGCTAATTCCATACGTCGCCAAATCAAAGAAAATTAAACTTTGTGCAGTTGGCATGTTTTCAATTTGATATTATACCTAAACTCCATCATTATTTAGACTTAAAACAAATCAAAAAATACTTATAATTAAATGATTAATTAACATGTTACGTTGTAAAGTTATGAAACAAAATTATTTTTATTTCTATTGAAGTAAGATATATATAAATATATATATATATATATATATATATATATATATATATATATATATATATATTAGGGCCCTGTGAAGCTTTGAAATTTCGAATAGAATCAAAAAAATGATTTAAGATTCGATTCGAAAACTTTCAAAAATCGAATTCTTAGTTATTTTATTTTTGTTGTGGGTATTTTAGATATGCTGCGTTTTGGCGCTATCGAAATAACGTATCGAAATAAGTATCAATTGAGAGATTATACATTTGTTTTATTTTATTTTATTTTGAAATATGTATTATTAAATCAAAAATGCTTAAATTTTGACTTCAAAATGTCGATTCGAAACGTGATTCGAATTGCGAATCAAGACCTGCTTTGATTCGAGATTCGATTCGATATATATATATATATATATATATATATATATATATATATATATATATATATATATATATATATATATATATATATATATATATATATATATATATATATATATATATATATATATATATATATATATATATATATATATATATATATATATATATATATATATATATATATTTATATATATATATATATATATATATATATACATATATATATATATATATATATATATATATATATATATATATATATATATATATATATATATATATATATATATATATATATATATATATATATATATATATATATATGTAATATTTTTCTTCGTTTCCTTCAAGAATTAAAATTTTAAAAATACACTAAATTTATGAAAACGTTTAAAATTTCATATAGTTGTTTAATAGCAATTATTACTTATCAATTTTTATGAATCAATATGTCATAATTAAGGAGTCAAAAAGAAAAATCAAATTGAATAGCCAAAATGAAAACAACTGTACCGTATATAATAATATTCAAATGCAAAAAAAAATAAAAAAGAAGTATATATAAATAAATAAAGTTTTTAAATACATGTCGCGCGCATCATTATTAAAAGAGAAATACCTTAAATGATTTACTAGCAACAGATTCTCAGCAACCGTTAATGAATTTGAAACTTTTGTTTTTCTTGTTAACCTTAACTTATGCAATTACAACGTGCTTTAATAATAAAATTATCAAAATATATACATATTTATCATTTTAACACGTTTTAGTGTTTTTTGAGAACATAATACCAATGTAAAAGTAAATTTACAATTAGCTATAAAACACTTACTAGAACTTTTAAGTAAATTACCCATTTATAAAATACTTACATCGCTACCTAAAAAAATCTAATACTTGCAAAAATAAAAGTTAAATTTTAAAACCTTTCCACTTGAATTAACAGTCCTTAAAATATTTTGATAACTAACCCAGTGGGCACGGACGTAAAAAAGACGTCTTTTAAACGTTTTATACACGTTTTAAACGTCTTTTGAACGTCTTTTGAACGTCTTTTGAACGTTCAAAAGACGTCTTTTTTTGGTCTGGTGCCCACTGGGAAAATGTTTCTTCAGTCAAACTTTATTATTAAAGGATGTTGCCAAGCTACACAATACAGTAGCGTAGCGTCGGGAAAATGCTAGCCCTACAATTAATTCGTTGTTGTGATGTTAGCCCATTGTAGTGTGCTGCTCGGGTGGTGGTTACATAATTAAAAGTTAAAATAATAAAAATTCAATCTAAAAGTGAAGCACAACCACGTTTTTATAATTAGTCTCTCAACGCTACGCGTAACTATGCAATCAGACAAAAAAATTTCTGGACACGAATCCATGAAAATGCAGTTAATGATTTTAATCCTAGGCCGGACAAAATACAACCTCATCTAAATTGAGTAAAATTAAGGTCAGAAGTTTCTAAGCAACTCATTCACATTAGCAAATTTGAAGAAATTTTACCCAAAATAAAAAGAATGGAGTTTTAATTTTAAATAATAAAGAGCAGTCTTAAAGAGTAAAAATTTATTTAACATTTTAAATTATTTTAAAACAAAAAAAAATATTTCTTGCGTCCACCATATCTGGGTAAGTTTTTTAGAAAAAGGTAATACTATGAGCCAACGTTGGCTCAGAAAAACACTTTTTGAGCTAACACCAGCCTCAAGAGTCTTTTTTATAGTACATATTTTAGGCCAACAAAATCCATAAGTCTTTCTTATAATAGACAGCTCATCGGTCCCTAAGCTGAGCAACTATAAAAAAGAAGACAAATAAGAAATAGTAAATCAATTTACACTGAAATTTTTACAAAAACTTTTAGAAAAAACCTACTATTTCTTCGATGCTTTGAATTTTACGCTTTTATTTAGCGCGAATACCAAAAATACTACAGTAAGCAACAAAACGGACTATTAGACAGGAATTATGTATTTTCTCGCAACATCTGTTAAATGACATTAGAACAAATGCAATTCGTCAACCTACCTCTGCTGCCAACTAGCTCCAGTCTTTCCGACAAAAAATATTTTTTGCTATAAATATTGGGTGGCTCGAACTTTCTTCCCATAACTCTATTTATGAATTATTATATATTTAAATGCAGTTTATGACTTTTTAGTTAAAAATAAAGCATTATCAATTAATAGCAAAGGTTTTCATTAGTTTTAGTATTAATGAGTTTTAATTTATCATTTTATTAAGTTAAAATAAATAAAGGAGTGAATTGTCTCAAAACTAATTTGTCAATTGTAAAATGTTCCTCAGCGAAAAACTGCAAATACGCATGGTTTTTTTTTCCATAGTTTTTTCACTCATATGAGAATTATTATTTTGTCCCATGTGGGTTTTATATAAAAAATCCCACAAGGGTTGCATACAGTAAATTACACATGGAAAAGTCGTGGTTTTTTTTAAAACCATTTGGAATTATTTTGTCACACATGGGTTTTATGTAGTAAATCCCACAAAAGATATAAGTAGCAAATTTCACATGTAATATAGGTTAAAAATACCGACTTGTATAAAGGTTTATTTGCTCTTTACAATACACTTAGAGTTAATGACATCCAAAAATAAATTAAGACGTTATAGCCCCCGAAATGTCAAAATGTTGAACATACAAGAACATCTTAATATCGACGTTTTTGTTCTCCGTAACAAAAAAAAAGGATGTTTTCTATTATTTACAACATAAATAGCAAAAACATACTTTGAAGAAAGCATTTAAAAATCTGTTTTTTTATATTTTACAACGTAAGATAAAAACATACAGTCTAAACTAAAATAGGAAAGATTGTTTTTTTTCTTCATTTTTTTATGGTTTTCTTAACATCACAGTTAAACTTTCTTTTAAGACCAGACATATGTGTGTTTTGCTTCTTTTCTGCTGTTGCCATTTGTACATGTTTATAAATTTCTTTGACGGTGAAAATTTCTTTTTTTTTCGGATATCCCCTAATATGGAAACTATTTAAGGTGTTGTGAGGAAGAATGTTTTATGGAACTCTCTTAAATTTAAAAATTAAATCTCTTAAATTTAGCAACTGTCTTAAATTTAGAAATAGTGAGTCGAGAAAGAAAGGAGAGGGAAACCAGCAATCATGCAGTAGACTGCACAGACTATTCATACAGCTGTTTGTTTAAATAGTTTGTTAAAGGAGTTAAAATGGGAGGAGGTAAAAAAAAGCGCCTAACAAAAGTCAGGGCAAATATTAAAAAAATACATGCTAC